GGTGAAACAGGAAGGTAAAAAATAAAAAAGTTATAGGGGTGAGCCACTTTCGAGACGCACCCGGTATAAGAATAAGAATAGAAATTTTAGATAAACCAAAAAACAAACAAGCTTCTGATATGTAGATAAGGCCTGGAAAACGCGTAAAGTCGAATAATTATTGCGAAAGCGCTTCATTTTACCGAACTTTGCATTTGCGTTAACAACATCCCAGAAATGGAGACGCCATTATGAGACCCGATTCAATTTTTTCCGTTTTACGCAGATGACGAGAGTGGCAGATTGGAAATGAAGGCGATCCCGGGATCGACATCGGCAGGTGGCAGCAGTGAACCACCGAAAAAAACTGGCGAGAATGATTGGTCGGATAGTCCGAGAGGATCCCTGAGGAAGATGACCGTTCGAAACCGAAACTTTGTCGAGAATTCGGCCGGACCATCCACCAGCATGGTTTCTAGTATAAGCAGTCCGAATTTTAGACGGGATCCTAGCATTAGGTCTTTAAAAAACTATCATCATATTATGGATATGCAAGGTATTTATTTTTAAATATACGTGGTGAGTCTTAAATAAGTCAAAATATTTTTAGGGATAGTATATTTCGATTCCACGTCTATGTATGTGTTTTTTTCGCGAAAAGAAGTTTTTTAATTTTTAGTTAAAACACATAATATATATTGATAATGACTAACTTGATATCTAGACCTTAGGTATCTAGAAAAGATCTAGTTTGGTTCTCAAAATTTAAGCGAAAAATATATATTTTTTTAATTTTCAAAGTAAAATAATTCGGATATTTTGGACTTACTTGAAAAACGGCAAAGAGAAAATAAGATTCTATTATCCAGTTCTACCAGCCCTGAAAATATTTGCACTTATTTCAGACTCACCCTGTATCATAATAAATGTATAACGACCATAAAGATAATTTACATAAAGGAAAGGAACCAAATATGGAATACCATTTAGTTTGTGACTTAAGACTTAAAATTTAAGTTTTTTTGAAAATGATTTGTGATTTACATCTTCATTCCGAAATGTCATATGATCAAAAAAAAACGGCGTCCAGTTGGCTTGGAAATGACGATCGATGACATTTCCCATATAATTTTACATATAAAATGACAGCGACCTTCATTTCATGGCCATCGCTGACCGTTTTTATTCGATCATACGGTAGAAAAATATAGATCTTTTTAGAAAAGGCTTCAGACACTTCGGAATGCAGCGCATTCTGCAGATAAAAATAAGTAAAAGAGTTCGTATAAATGTATGTCCTAAAATGCTTACTTTTAGAGATACAGGGTGTAGAAGTTTCATTTTTATTTCGATTTTTTCTAAATAATTTCTGAAGTAACGTCAATATTTGGATTAAAATTGGTGTCTGGGAGTTTTTTGACATGAGAAATTTGGGGGTTTTCGTGTCAATATGACTCCTATTAGTAGAGGGCGCCACCCACACGTGTTTTAACTGTTTTGAAGCGCAATAAAAAGCGTAATTTTTGTCCGTACCTGTATAAAACTACCTAGTGAAAAAATATACATCTCTGTGACTTTTTACGTAAAAAATATCTCTTTGTAAAAATCGCTACGAGCAACCATTCTTAAGATATTTAGTATGGAAATAGACAATACATGTCATTATTGACGAAAAATAAACACGTTGAGTAGATAGTTATTTCACTGAAATAATAAATTTGGGAAATTTTTATTTTTTTAAATTAATCATACATTTTTCTGCAAAAAATGATGATAAAACAGTTTCTGTTGAACTTTTGACACAAAAAAAATCAAATTTATGATTTCAGTCTAATAACTATTTAGTCAACATGTTAATTTATGTCAGTGATGACAGGTATTGATAATTTCGATTCCACATATCTCGAAAACCATTACTCGAAGCGATTTTTACCAAGAGATCTTTTTCACGTAAAAAACGTCGTAAATATATATTTTTTTATTCAGTAGTTTTATACAGGTACAGACGAAAAGTTATTACTATTCAAACCAGTTTAAAAATATGTAGGTGGCGCCCTCTACTAGTAAGAGTCATACTGAGATCAAAATCAAATTTCACATGTCAAAAAACTCCCAGACATCAATTTTCATCCAAATATTGACCTTACTTCAGAAATTATTTGAAAAAATCGAAATAAAAATGAAACTTCTACACCCTCTATCTTCGAAACTAAACATTTTAGGACATACATTTATACGAACTTTTTACATATTTTTATCTGCCGAATATGCTGCCGAAGTTTCAGGAATATAGTTTGGACCACCCTGTATAATTACTTACAGGGTATTACTTTTAATCTTTTTTATTATTTGCAACGTTTGAAATTGTTTAAAAAATTATTTGTTTGAAAAAATAAAACGTTTGAAAAAATTGTTCTATACAGAGTAAAATTACTTTTTTTGTGCCTCACCTGTAATATTGTCAAACGTACAGCTTCACCACAAAAAGTATCTTATTTAATCCTAATAAAACAGTATACTATTGTTTAGAAACGGCAACATTATTTAGAACTCGCCGATATTTGAAATGATAGTTTAGGCACCGAATATTAAAAGGTTTATTATTAATCATTTTGAGCTTAAAAGAAAGAGCTTATCAAACTTTTAAATTAGCGGTTTACAATCGGTGGTTACCAATCAACAGCTTACCGCCCCCCCGTCCTTTTTCATAGCCCCATAGATAAGAAAAGATCACGTATCAAGAAACACTGGCTTTGAGTACCTTAAACACCCCACCGAGGCCACAAAGCCCGTTTGAATGAAAAGGCAAAACCTGCATGTGAATATAATGATGACCACTGTCTTTTACGATCAGGCGTATTTGTTTCCGAGAAATGGCGATATTCTATATTAGGAATACTATTCCATATTTTGGTTTTACCTTCCTCTCATAGTGTTCATCAAACTTTAACTGCAAGACAAAATTTTGCATTATGGTTACTTAAAAATAAAAATTTATAGGTTTTGAAGTTTTCGTGTAGTGGAATGTTAATTTTTTCTAATGTTTATAGCTGTTCAGTCTAGAAGGGCCCCCAGTAGTGTGGATTCTGGTTACGGATTCAGCGCCAAACCTTTCTCTGAAGCCGGTTCTGTGCGATCGTGGGCCTCAGTCGGAATGGGGTCCACCGATGGAAAGAAAATGATAGTACGCAGGGTGCCCACTTCTCCAGTGGAGCTGTTCAACATCGTAAATCCACCCACGTAAGTCGACAAAACGATCTGCACTAAATTTAAGTATTTTTTTTAAATGTTACAAATTCCTAAAATTCAATACAGATTATACAGGGTCCGGCAAAGTTCGTCGGGTATATGTGTAGCTCCTATAGTAAAAAACTTCGGAATTTTGTATAAGTGTACAGGGTGGCTCGAATTCGACGCTTATCATTGGGATTTCGGAAACTGTAAGAGATACAGGATCGGTTAAATGGAGGCAAAGTTGCGCAATTTGATGCTCAATAAAATGCCCTATTGAATTTTGAAAAATTCCGAATACTTTCGAAAAAAAAAACGGAATTTTCAATTTTGTCTTCTATTGTTTCCTGGCTTTATTTGTTAAGATAACTTAAAATGAAAAACACATTTTCATGGCCACTTTTTCTGCTCTATAACTCTGTGTGATATTTTAAATACGGACCTGATTTTTTTCAATTTAATTAATTCCTTTCATCACTCTTAAAACACTATATATAGTCACTTTGATATTTGCCGACGTTTCGTACAGAAAATTCCATCACCTGAATATTTTATGCAAAAAAATAAAAATGCAATACGGCATTTTATTGAGCATCAAATTGCGCAACTTTGTCTCCATTTAATCGATCCTGTATCTCTTACGGTTTCCGAAATCCCAATGATGAGCGTCGAATTCGAGCCATCCTGTACAGTTCATACCAAATAAACTTTTAGTCACGTGATTAAGCTTGACCGGCACAGCGTTGTCCACTTTTATATATTTTTGTTTTAATCAAAATATTTTAGGAAACAAAAATTAATTAATTATAAATATATAAACAGTTATTATTTACATCAATAAAACTCACTCTTCTTAACAGCACAGTTCAAAATATTCTGATAAAGTTGCGATGAGTTTTTTACGGTTATTTAGTTATTTTGTACACTTCGCACTAAAGAGGTTCTAAAAAGAGCAATGTTCGACTGCAAGGTCTGCTAGTAAACATTTTTAAGCTTAAAGTATCAACACTATTTATTTAAACCAAAAACACAAAACTAAAGTGTCGAAACCAATGACTTAAGAATATAAGGACATGTAACGCCCCTATACGGGCTGCAGCAGAATTTGTGACCTTAGACGCCTTTTCTTTTGGTGGCAAACAATGAGCCATCAGCTGGTCACCAACAACAATTTTAGCAATTTTTAATAGTTTGTGTGTAGTGAACTTTGTATAAACTTTATTACAATGCTGATTAGTTGTTCAGCTTTCAAATGTAAAAGCAGCAGTGACAAGAAAGAGCCAGGAGTTACGTTTCATAGGTAAATAAAC